AGATATATCCCATCACAAATGCCCTGGGCAGAGAATAGGCCTATTTACTAAAGGTGGCTCATAGAGAAGTGGAGGATAACCACAGGGTGAAGCAGGTGCTTCAGCTGGTCAAAACAGGCCTCAGGAGTTGGGGTCTTGAATATTTAATGAGGGAGCAGGTGTACCCAAAGGTTCTAAACAGGGTCTATTTCACCGTACCAAGGAGGGCAGAGTCTTTAACACAGAATATTACCAAGGGATTTAGTTATCCAATTAAGTGTTACTAAATTCTTAAGAAAAAACAGAAAGTATGCCCCAGACACTTCTTAGAAAATTCATAAATAAAAAGAGAGGCCAAATTTAAAAACAAAAGGCCAATTGAGTTAAACAATAAAAGCCAAAAGCTAGTTCTTTTTTTTTTAAAAAAAGAGTTTTTTTAATGTGGACCATTTCTTTAAAAAAATCTTTACTGAATTTGTTACAATATTGCTTCTGTTTTATGGTTTTTGTGCCCCCCCCACCCCCGCCAGCCATGAGGCATGGGGGATCTTAGCTCCCCCACCAGGGATTGAACCCACACCCCCTGCATTGGAAGGTGAAGCCCTAACCACTGGACCGCCAGGGAAGTCCCCAAACTGGTTCTTTTGGAATAAGTAACCTTTAGCAAATATAATCAATAAAGAGAAAAAATTAAATATCAACAAAAGGAGGCTAACCACAAATACAGGGAAAAATTTCTAAAATAATAAATTATCACACACTATACCAATAAATTTGAAAGTTATAAAAATATAATTTACTAACATTGGTCTAAGTGGAAGAAACATCTGAATAGACCAATTACGATGAAAAAACTGAAAGAGTAGTTGCAGTCCTACTCCTCTCAAAAGACCAGTTCCAGAGTTTTATTGTCAAGGTTCACAATTTCACTTATCAGATTATCAAAAATCCACGAGTTTGGCAATGCAGTCTGTTGGGGAAACTGTGGGAAACAAAGGAAAAGAAAAGCAAAAGACCAGGAAAAAATATTTACCATGAAGGTTATAAAAGATTTATTTATACATTAAGACAAACAGATCAACAGAACATAAAAATGGAAATTCACAGTTCAGGAATTATGAATAAGTCAATAAACACATTTCAAAACACCTCCAATTTACAGACTTAAAAAAGCCAAATAAACCCAAGCAAGATAAATATAGATACAGTGAAACAGCAGAAAGCTAAAAACAAAGGGAAAAATATTAAAGCAGCCAGAGACAAGGAACTGAAAGACTGACAGGTGACTTTTCAATAGCAATAATGGAAACCAAAAGACAGAGGAATGAGATCTTCAAATTGCTACAAGAAAATAACTGCCAACCTAAACTGCCATATTCAGCAAAAACATCTCCCTTAAGTGATGGTGAAACAAAGACACTTTCAGGTAAACACAAACTAAGAGAGTTCATCTATTCTAAAGGATAGACTTTAAGCAGAAGGAAAATGGCCCTAGGTGGATGGTCTAAAAGATAAAACAATCAATGAATAATAGAGAAAGTAGCAAAAATGTGGGAAATATAAAAAAGGACTGACGGCAAAACACAATAACCATTCTAAACAGGTCTCCTTCTGTCTTGTAAGAATATTAAAAAAAAATTAAACTACATAATAATAACATGTTAAGTCATGAGGAGCTGAATAAAATTAAACTACTAAGGTTCTTGTATTATCTAAGAGGAAGGTAAAGATATTGGTTATTTTTATTATTTAAAAAAATTTTTTTTTTGCGGTACACGGGCCTCTCACCACCGCGGTCTCTACTGTTGCGGAGCACAGGCCCCGGACGCGCAGGCCCAGCGGCCATGGCCCACGGGCCCAGCCGCTCTGCGGCACGTGGGATCCTCCCGGACCGGCGCACGAACCCGTGTCCCCTGCATCAGCAGGCGGACCCCCAACCCCTGCGCCACCAGGGAAGCCCTACTGGTTATTTTTAGATTTTGAAAAGTCAAGGATGCATGATATTTCTAGGATAACTATAAAAAGAGAAAAAAGTATAAAACTTCTGAAATAATATACGGGGAAAATGAAATGATATAAGATATTAAATAGCTATTTTAAAAAAATAACAAAAAAGGAGAAAAAAGAAATATAAAACAGCCAGGACAAATAGAAAGCAAAAATAAGAGCAACTGTAGCAAATGTAAATAGGCTATATCCCAGCTAAACATGTTTGAAAATTGCATTAAAATTCCAACTGATGCTCTTTAAAATAAGCATATCTAAAGCATACACATGCATACAAATCTATAGCTATCTCAAAAATAGTTTAATAAATGAAAAAACAAAAAATAAACACAAAAAGAAATATATGATAAGACTTCCCTGGTAGCTCAGTGCTTAAGAATCTACCTGCCAACGCAGGGGACACAGGTTCAAGCCTTGGTCTGGGAAGATCCCACATGCTGCAGAGCAACTAAGCCCATGTGCCACAACTACTGAGTCTGCAAGCCAAACTACTGAGCCCACGTGCCACAACTACTGAAGCCTGCGAGCCTAGAGCCTGTGCTCCGCAACAAGAGAAGCCACCGCAACGAGAAGCCTGCACACCACAACGAAGAGTAGTCCCATCTCACCGCAACTAGAGACAGCCCGCACACAGCAACAAAGACCCGACGCAGCTGAGTATAAAATATAAACAAATAAATAAAAAAAGAATTAAAAAATAAAAACAAAGACATGATAGAGATAATCACAAAGCTAAAACAGGATTCACTAAAAAGACTAAGATCGATGATAAACTANCAAGAGGCACCATGGGAAGATTATATTGGGAGCCACTATGTCTTGGGTGCTGTGGTTGACCTGGATGTAGATGAAACAGTGGGATTTCTGAATTCTAGTTTTCCACATTCAACCACCAAAAAACTGTTACAACTAAAAAATGAATTCAGTAAAGCTGCAGGATACAAAAAAAAAAAGAAAAATCAATGCACAAACATCATTTGTGATTCTATACACTGATAATGAACAATCAGAAAAAGAATTTTTAAAAAATCCCACTACAATTGCATCCAAAAAGATAACTAGGAGTAAATTTAACCAAGGATGTGAAGGACCAGCACACTGAAAACTGGAAGACACTAATAGAGGACACTGAACAGATGAAAATAAATGGAGGGGCTTCCCTGGTGGGGCAGTGGCTGAGAGTCCGCCTGCCGATGCAGGGGACGTGGGTTTGTGCCCCGGTCCGGGAAGAACCCACATGCCGCGGTGCGGCTGGGCCCTTGAGCCATGGCCGCTGAGCCTGTGCTTCCGGAGCCTGTGCTCTGCAATGGCAGAGGCCACAACAGTGAGAGGCCCGCATACCGCAAAAAACCAAAACAAAACAAGGGCTTCCCTGGTGGCGCAGTGGTTGAGAGTCAGCCTGCCGAAGCAGGGGACACGGCTTCGTGTCCCGGTCTGGGAGGATCACACATGCCGCGGAGCGGCTGGGCCCGTGAGCCATGGCCGCTGAACCTGTGCTTCTGGAGCCTGTGCTCTGCAACGGGAGAGACCAAAACGATGAGAGGTCCGTGTACCGCAAAAAAAAAAAAAAAAAAAATACTGTGAAAATATGCATTCTATGGTGGGAATTCCCTGGCCATCCAGGGGTTGGGACTCTGTGCTTCCACTGCAGGGGGTGCGGGTTCGATCCCGGGTTGGGGAACTAAGATCACGCATCCTGCATGCTACATGGTGTGACCCAAATTTTTGTTTAATTTTTAAAAAATATGCAGTCTAGCAAAATTAATGTACACATTCAATGCAATCCTTCCCAAAAGTCCAAAGACACTTTCCATAGAAACAGAACAAATAATCTTAAGCTGTGTGTGGAACCACAAAGGACCCAGAAGAGCCAAAGCGACCCTGAGGAAGGAGAACGGGCTGGAGGCATCTCCCTCCCTGATTTCACACTACATTACGAAGCTACAGTCCCCAAAAAGTGTGGAATTGGCACCAAAACAGGCACACAGACCAGAGGAACAGAGCAGAGGACCCAGGAATCAACCTACAGGTATGTGGTCAGTTAATTCACTAGAAAGGAGCCAAGAATATACACCAGGGAAGGGACAGTCCCCTCAATAAACGGTGCTGGGAAAATCAGATGCCACACGCCAAAGAACAACACTGCACTCTGTCTACAGCACACACAAGAGGGGACAAAAACCCAGTTTTCCAGATCAAGCCCTTCCTCTCCTGGGTCCTCTGAAGACAGACACCCTCAGCGGTCAGCCACGCACAGGAACCTTCTGCCCACTTTTCCTCACCTTCTCCCTCAGTGGCATCACCTCCCAGCAGGTCATGAGGAGACCAGGCTCCTGTCAGCATGAACTGGACCCCACAGTGTCCCAAAGCTGAAGGCCCAGCGGGTCCTGAGGAGACCCGGCTCCTGTTAGTGTGGACTCGACCCCGGCTTGTCCCGAAGCCTGGACATCAGCGTGGACTCAGCCCAACGTGTTCCAGAAACCAAAGCCCCAGCAGGTCCTGAGGAGACAGGGCTCCTCTCAGCATGAACATGAACAGCATGATCTGAACAGACATCCCACCAAAAAAAATATACAGATAGTAAAAGTCATACAGAAACAAGCTCAAGGGCTTCTCTGGTGGTGCAGTGGTTGAGAGTCCACCTGCTGATGTGGGGGGCACGGGTTGGTTCCCCGGTCCGGGATGATCCCACATGCTGCGGAGCAGCCAGTTCCGTAAGCCATGGCTGCTGAGCTTGCGTGTCCAGAGCCTGTGTTCCCCGATGGGAGATGCCACAACAGTGAGAGGACCGCGTACCGCAAAAAAAGAAACAAGCTCAACATCATATACCATTAGGGAATTACAAATTAAAATCATGAACTATCACAGCACACCTATTAGGACTGCTAAGCTCCAAAATTATGACAATACCAATTGCTAGAGGGTGAGGAAAAAAAGGAACTCTCCCTCATAGCTGGGGGGATGCATGTGCAGCCACTTTGTAAGACAATTTGGCAGTTTTTCCAAAGCTAAACAAGTCTCATGTTGGCATCCAACAATCATACTTCCAGTATTTAGGCAACTGCTTTGAAAATCTATGTTCAAATGCAAACAAGGATGCAATTATGAAGAGCAGCACTTCCATAATGGCTAAAAACTTGAAGAAATCAGGATATCCTTCAAAAGATGAATGCATAAGCAAATTGGGGTACATCCATGTCAACGCGAGTAAAATATGTCACCCCAAAATATGTCTCTCTGGCATAAGGATTATTGGTCTGCTTTAAAAAAAAACAAAACAAAACAGGGCTTCCCTGATGGCTGAGTGGTTAAGAGTCCACCTGCCGATTCAGGGGACACAGGTTCAAGCCCTGGTCCGGGAAGATCCCACATGCCGCAATTCAACTAAGCCTGTGAGCCACAACTACTGAAGCCCACACATCTACAGCCTCTGCTCCGTGACAAGAAAAGCCACCACAATGAGAAGTCCGCACACCGCAATGAAGAGTAGCCCCTGCTCGCCACAACCAGAGAAAAGCCTGCACGCGGCAACGAAGACCCATTGCAGCCAAAAATAATAAATTTTTTAAAAAATCTCAGAAAACTGAGATTGCCGTTTTATGAAGAACATTTACAACAGAGAAATCTCCATTTATAAGGGTATGTCCCTCTTTGCACCAAAAATAGAAGGATAATTAAATATTAAGTAACTCTTTTCAAAGGGGAAGTCCTGACTTAAATGTGCAAACAGTCATACCCTTGTTTACTGTGCTTTGCATGATAAGCTGCCATAACTGGCCTTCCCCGCTTCCCCAGCATCTTTCTTCTGTTTTTAGCTGAAGACAGTATTTAAGGGGATGGTTTTGGTCATTTCAGGGCCTGACTCAGTTTCCCGTGGTATCCCCCCTGTATTCAGAAGGTATACATGTTATTAAACTTCGGCTTTTCTCCTGGTAATCTGTCTTTTATTACAGGGGCAGGGGGGGCCTCAACCAAGAACCTAGAAAAGTAGAGGGAAAATTGTTCTTCCTCCCATACACGTGCAGTGGAATACTACTCAGCAGAAGAGAATGCACCACCAACCTATGGAAAGACATGGATAAATCTTCAGTATACACTGCTAAGTGAAAGACTCCAGTCTGCGGAGGCTGCACACAGCATGACCCCATTGACGACATTCCGGGAAAGGCAAAGCTACGTAGATGATAAGCAGATCATGGGGTGGGGGTTTGAAGTAGTCCATGTGATACTCTAGGGTGGATGCCTGTCACTATGCATTTGTCTAAGCCCACAGATGTGCATAGCCCAAGGGGCCAATCATAATCTATTCAAATTTAGTTATTTAGGATGTAGGAATGTTGGAGGATGGAATACATAATGTCACAGAATCTAACTGTATTAGAAATATATGGAAACAACTCACTGTACGGGATGGGATAAAAGGTGCTGACCTAAGTCACCTTTGGAAATGAATGGGATCTGTAGACTAAAGGCAAAATGGACCGTATATAAACAGTGGGCTTTATTCTAGGAAGTTCTTTCCAGGGTGTAGTAGCTAACAATTCTGAAACCTCTGCACAGGTAACCTGGAAAGGAGCAATGCACAGACAAATGGCAGATGGTGGGAGCCAGGGAGCCAGCCACAGCCTTGCTGTGGGAGTGGGAAGTTACAGATAAGCAAGGGGAGAGCCTCTGCCCTCGTAATCCTGGATATAGGCTTCCTGGGAGGATGTTGACTGGCCGGGGAAAACACACAGATCTTCATGCTGGGAAGACCCTGCAGACATAGGAATTTCCCACCCCATCTTTCCACCCATACCTGCTGGAAACATTCAGCCCTCCATAATCAGTCAACATCTCCCCCCCGGGCAGATAAAGGAGCATGAGGGTCTTGCTTACCCTAAGCTGTCCCAGAATCCAGGCCCTGAGGGTGGAGCCAGGTTGGGGGTTCCTGGGCCTCTGAATCCAGGCCCTGGGTGTGGAGCCAGGTTGGGGGTTCCTGGGCCTCTGACCAGCAGGTGAGAAGAGGGAGGAAGACTGGTCCTGAGGACAGAGGTTCCCTCAAGTCTGTGAGCCCAAGAGCCCCGATGGGGTTCATTCCCGGTGCGGATATGGGCGGAGCCTGCAGTGGTTCTCTTCCACCTGGGCCCTTTGATGAAGCCATGGCAGCACTGGGCCCTGACGTCTCCTGGCGGTGCCTCAAACTCTGACACAGCAGCTTTACAAAGGAACAGGAGAATGGAGCTGAGCCCCTGACGGCCACTCCTCTGTGGCTCTGAGTTGCTTCCACCAGGACCGCAGTCACCTGCACATAGTCTGCTGTGACCTACTGGCCCCCATTGGCCTTTCCTCTCCCTCCCTGTGATGATTCCCGTGACATTTCCAGCCTGGACCCCTCTCCCAGGCCAGACGCCTCTGTCCAGCCACTGTACCCCCATCTCACCTTGGGGGCTAACAGGCCCCTCAGAGGACTGGGCCCACAGCTCCCCACACCCAGGAGCAGCCCCACGTTCCCAGGCTGCCGATCCCAGGCACCGGGTGTAACCGAGCAGGACCCTACTGGGCCTTCCCAGGACAGACCCCTCCCCCACATGCTCTGCTGTAGCTCCTCTCTGAAGTGCCTGGATAACAGTACCTGATGCACGCTTCCTGAGTTGTTTTACAGATGCTAAAACCACCACGAAGTGGAAGAAATTAACTACTTGATCATGAACATGTAGCCCCGGAGCTTCTGGCGCCTAAGAATTTATAATGTTAACCGCCTGTTACCTCACCATCAACCAGAGAATTGTGCACCAGCTGATCACATACCCTGCGACGCCCCTCCTTCACCTGGCCTTTAATATTGCTTTACTGAAATCCTTCAGGGAGCTTGGGGTTTTAGAGCACAAGCCACCTGGCCTCCTTGTATTGGCACTTTTACAATTAAAGCTGCACTTTCCTTCACCACACCCGGTGTCAGTAGACTGGCTTTACTGCACTCGGGCAAGCCGACCCATGTTTTGTTCAGTAACACTGGGGCCTCCCAGGCTCCCACCCTCCTTTTGCCCCAGTGGCTGTCATCTGCTCCTCCAGTCTTGTTGCAGCAAAAGTAGAAATGAAGTTTTCCTTCCCCTGAGAACAAGGAAAACAAAGGGAACAGCGAACAGGCTAGAGAAGAAACATAACTGGCCAGAAAGAGTTCATCACTCCTTGTTTTACTTTGTCACTAATCTGTAATAACTACATTTGTACTTTACAAAGCTAACCTTACTCCCTGACACTTTGTAATTTACATTCAGCACCCATCACCCCTGAC